ACATTTTCAAACAGCACCTCGTGACCAAAACTACTACAGAATAGTTAAAAAGAATATGTGGAAAAACTGTATGTGAATTAGTAGGCTTGGATAGTAGCAGCCGAGATATTCATCAGTGTAATAGGCATCAGTATAAGAAGCTTGGTGGTCAGATTTTAATCCCAGCATGTGTGTGGGAGGGGTTGGCTGATGAGTTTACTGAAAGACTGGCAGCTCTTTTTAAAATGTTACAAAGAAATGGGGATGTACCTTATTGTTATTTATTACTAAAACGTGGCACTGATAGTCTAAAAAAGAATTATCCTCGCTATTCTGTCTGATCAATTGAACTTCACTTCTTAGTAAAATAATAGGATAAATATTGAAAGTGAATCTGAAAGCTAGTGGAAGATGATTGAACTACAAGTACCAGAGAGCTTTGTTTTGTTTTGGCCTAATTCATGCCAAATAGACTGGATAACTTTTTTTAAATTGAATTACAAATGAGTTGATGAAGGTGGATTGCTCGAAATCTTATATCTAGATAATGATCTTATATTTATATTATGCCTTTCCTAGGAAACTCTGCAAACATATGTACCTGTATCTGTTTGCTCCCTACAGAAGTGCAGCCACCTCTTGGTGGAGTGTCGCTGTGTAACAGCACACAGCAACACTAGAATTGGAATTCTAGGCAAGCATAATGTAACTACCTGAGCTGCTGTTCAGAACACTGTGGTAAACATTGAGACTCTTGCAGAAAAGGCCATGGTATCTAATAAAACACTGGATAGGTACTTCATGGAATCTTAACTGAAAAAGCAAAACTTCTGAATTATAGAGTTTGCATGAATGCCCAGAGACCATGCCTCCATAGTGTTTATACAGTGCTTAGCACAACAGATCTCAGCTTGAGACCTTTGGATTCTCGTGGGCTTGAGTTAAGATGGAGACACAATCTTCCTGGGGGTCTACCAGGGTTTCTTGTATGTCTATGTGGGCCTTGCAGACTGTAAGGCAGTTATGGGCAACCTAGGCTAATGAGTGGCCCGCCTTCACCCCAGACTGGGCTGCAAGATAGTTATAAACAAGATGGTCTACCGGGATAGGGTAGTTTTGCTAACTGCGCTTGCGTACCTAGAATTTTCAGGATGTGTCACTTGAACTGTAGCAGCGCTTTGATTGGATGCAGAGGGAGATTACGGCTCTCAGTCAGTGCTGTATGCAATCAGTACACACCTCCCTTCATGTGCCCTTGCTTTATGTGCATGGTAGGAAAAAAATTATGCAGACAGAAACCGGCGTAATCTGGAAACCCTGCCTGTGAGCACTGATAGACAAAATGTCTCACAGGCCATGCATAGAATCTCAATGGGCCACAAGTTGCTTACCACTGCTGGGGGCAAGGACTTTCTTCATTTGTGTTTTGTGCAGAGAGGGAAGGTTGTTGACACTTAGGAAATAATAGTAAATTGGACATGTATAGTTCTTCGTCTTGGAAGTGGAACCCACTGAATGTAGGGAGAGAGATGTAGAATGCTGGTAATGCTGAGAAACTTCAACAGGTGTGAGGGGAAAGCAGCTTGCATATCAGCTTCTAAAGCAACAGGATAGCAAAAATGCTAATGTAATTTTTTTGGGGGGGGCGGGGCAGTTGCATCACAGAGTTGTCAGTCCCTATCTTGATGGCAGTGTGACCACATCTGAAATACTGGTTGCTTTGAGGAACTTAAAAATTGTAGGTAGGTTGGAAGAGAGAACAGAGGTATAGAGAAGAACAACAGAAATGATCTAACAAGGTGGATAAAAAAATCAGGGTTTTTTTAGTTGACTATATTATTCTTTTTGAAAAACCTATTTTCAATTAAATTTGAAATTGATGACCAATGTTAAGCCATAAACTTACTTTAATTGGAATAAACTCTTTGAAATAAATAAAATATGCTGCATCAATGAACCTTCCTTGAAGTTGAAGGGTGATGCTTCTTTAAGAATATACAGAAAGAGGCAGAAAAGATCATTAACTTTTGAGGTCAACTCAAGCTTTATAAATACGTGACAATATCCTGTAAGCATCTGTGCTATTTTCAGTTTTTCAGTGGAGTGAATGCTGTTATTTACATTTTCCCCAGTGTAAGAGCTTTTAGTTTCTGTTTTACAGAAAAACTTTGGCCTTCTTTCCTTTTGGTTTCAGTTTAGCAAACAGAGGCAGAGAGAACATTTATTTTATTTAGGCTGGTTCATTCAAAGTTGAGAAACCATCTGGGAGTTGAAAAAGTTCCAGTCTATGACGACAAAACAAACCCAGCTGGGAGAAGATGAGATCTACTGATGCTAAAACCTGAAGGATAAGGAAACAGATTTTCCAAAGTGTATTTAGGTGCCTAAAGCTGCTGAAAGGTGCCTCATCCTCATGGGATTTTTAAGGAATTTAGGAACCTTAACGCCCATTGAGATCCCACTAAATTTCCCCTATACTGTATAGCCAACGCATTTAAGGTGATTTTATTTAACTGTTAAACAATTTTAAAATGCTGTTAGTGCATTTTAATTGAATTCCCATTTTCATGCAAATACAGCTTGAGACAAACCACGAATAAAAAAATGATCATCTAGTAAATAAGAAATGCCATTTACCATTTTCTATCGTAATAAAAAAGTAAAAATTAAGACCCCGAATAAATATATATTAGATTTGCTTTTTTTATATAGCTTTTCTTTAAGAAAATAATTTAACAGTATACATGTGAAGCAAGATTAAAACCGAAATTTAAATCAAGGTTTCCTGCCTGCAAATCATGATTAAATCTGTGATTTAGTCAATTCATGTTGGGTGCAAACAGCTGGAGTGATTGAGTTGTGAGAAGGAATTCAGAAGTTATATGTATTGCTGAATGTCACCCGTCTAGAGGTATGCGTGAGATATGGCTGCCAAGGGGAGCAAGGATTTGCTCAAGGTGCTCTACAATAATATAACAAGGTGTAATGGAATAAAAAGCAGCAAAAGGAAATATAGGCTAAGCATGAGGTAAATTTCCCAAGTTTCAGAATCAGTGGAATCCCCATTACTTGGAACATTTAAACATGGAGAGGGCCAACCCCTGTAGAACACAGTGTAAAAATAATCCCTCATTGGCCTTTGGATTAGATGGGAGCCAACTGGGCTTCATCACTGCAGTGAAGCTGCCGGTACGTTCTGGGAAAT